AGTTCAGAACTGCAGGCCACTTGGCTCAGCGTCTTTATGAAAAAAAAAAACTATCCATTTCCAAAGTCTTGCCATGTCTGCAAGGTACACCCTTGGCCCAGGAGAACACCTGATTCAGTCACTCTGGCTAGCACTCGGGCTCCTCAGTATGCTCAAAGAACAGGAAGTGGATGGTTAGAATGCCAATCATGTGGACCATTTTTCCATGTTTCTTATTTTTCTTTTTAGTATAATTATTTCAAGCCTCCTTTCCTTAGACCTACCTCCTAACTGCAGCTAACTTTTCCAGTTTACTTCAAAAATAAAACAATCAAAAAACCCCAGGAGCCTTGTTTCTTTCCAGTGCAGTCTTAACCCTCCTGTGTCCCCTCCAGGCAGGCAAAACCATCCCTCCTGTCCCCTCCAGTGTGGACCCACTCTCCTGTCTCCTCCAGTGTGGACCCACCCTCCTGTCTCCCCCAGTGTGAACCCACCCTCCTGTCTCCTCCAGTGTGGACCCACTCTCCTGTCTCCTCCAGTGTGGACCCACTCTCCTGTCTCCTCCAGTGTGGACCCACCCTCCTGTGTTCCCTCCAGTGTGGACCCACCCTCCTGTCTCCTCCAGTGTGGACCCACCCTCCTGTCTCCTCCAGTGTGGACCCACTCTCCTGTCTCCTCCAGTGTGGACCCACCCTCCTGTCTCCCCGAGTGTGGACCCACCCTCCTGTGTTCCCTCCAGTGTGGACCCACCCTCCTGTGTCCTCCAGTGTGGACCCACCCTCCTGTCTCCTCCAGTGTGGACCCACCCTCCTGTGTTCCCTCCATTGTGGACCCACCCTCCTGTCTCCTCCAGTGTGGACCCACCCTCCTGTCTCCTCCAGTGTGGACCCACCCTCCTGTCTCCTCCAGTGTGGACCCACCCTCCTGTCTCCTCCAGTGTGGACCCACCCTCCTGTGTTCCCTCCAGTGTGGACCCACCCTCCTGTCTCCCCCAGTGTGGACCCACCCTCCTGTCTCCTCCAGTGTGGACCCACTCTCCTGTCCCCTCCAGTGTGGACCCACCCTCCTGTCTCCCCCAGTGTGGACCCACCCTCCTGTGTTCCCTCCAGTGTGGACCCACCCTCCTGTGTTCCCTCCAGTGTGGACCCACCCTCCTGTCTCCTCCAGTGTGGACCCACCCTCCTGTTTCCTCCACTGTGGACCCACCCTCCTGTCTCCTCCAGTGTGGACCCACCCTCCTGTCTCCTCCAGTGTGGACCCACCCTCCTGTGTTCCCTCCAGTGTGGACCCACTCTCCTGTCTCCTCCAGTGTGGACCCACTCTCCTGTCTCCTCCAGTGTGGACCCACCCTCCTGTCTCCTCCAGTGTGGACCCACCCTCCTGTCTCCTCCAGTGTGGACCCACCCTCCTGTCTCCTCCAGTGTGGACCCACCTTCCTGTCTCCTCCAGTGTGGACCCACCCTCCTGTGTTCCCTCCAGTGTGGACCCACTCTCCTGTCTCCTCCAGTGTGGACCCACTCTCCTGTCTCCTCCAGTGTGGACCCACCCTCCTGTCTCCTCCAGTGTGGACCCACCCTCCTGTCTCCTCCAGTGTGGACCCACCCTCCTGTCTCCTCCAGTGTGGACCCACCCTCCTGTCTCCTCCAGTGTGGACCCACCCTCCTGTCTCCTCCAGTGTGGACCCACTCTCCTGTCTCCTCCAGTGTGGACCCACCCTCCTGTCTCCTCCAGTGTGGACCCACCCTCCTGTCTCCTCCAGTGTGGACCCACCCTCCTGTCTCCTCCAGTGTGGACCCACCCTCCTGTCTCCTCCAATGTGGACCCACCCTCCTGTCTCCTCCAGTGTGGACCCACCCTCCTGTGTCTCCTCCAGTGTGGACCCACCCTCCTGTCTCCTCCAGGGTGTGTCTTGTCCAGTGTAAACCTTACCCTCCTGTGACTCCTCCATGTAGACCTGCCCTCCTGTGTTCCCAGGGCAGACCCTTGATCCTGTTTCTCTTCATCAGCTCTTCCCTGTGCTCTTTACTCTGCTTTTCCCTCTCCCCTTGCAAGTGTGTTCTCACTTCTGCTCCTTCCCATACCTGTCTTTAGCAAGAGGATTCTCTTCCATTCTGCTAGACCCCAAAACACCCTCAGGTTACCCTCATTATTAAAATAAAATCAGAAAACCTTTTTTGGCCACACAGTCTTCTAGCAGAACTTCAAGCCAGCTGTTTGCACTTTGCTTTTCAAAATGTTTGCCATTTCTCTTTACAGATTGGAAGACTATGAAAGTGTTCATACTAACATGGACATCAGCTATGCATTGAATATGTTTAGCCAATTTTTTTTCATGGCAAAATCTTCTCAGGGAAGGAATCAGCATGCTCCGAAATATGATACTAATGATACATTCTGAAATATGATACTAATTAGACAAGTAAGAAAAAGTTTGGGACATCAGCAGCCACATGCAACTGTTGGTCTCAACCTATGTCATGCCCACTGAAATCCTCCACAGCAGACACAGTGCAGTGACTAGTGGGTGCAGCTTGTATCTGTCTCAGTGGTCTTCTCAACAGTGACCTTGGCTTTCCTGAGCCCTGCGATGAGCATTCTCTTCAGTTTCTTTTTCTCTTCTCGATATCTACTGACCCACAGCTTCCAGGGTGCAGGTGTGTAAGCAAGGATCAGTCCCAGGTCCTCTTCTCTGTCTGCTGTGCTGTAGTGACCTCCCCTAGTCCCACTGAAGATCTGTGGGCAGACCCAGCTCCAGACTCTCAGCTGTCTCGTGGATATTTCCACAGAAACACCCAGTGGGCATCCTTACACATGGGCAGGTGTGAACAGAGCGGTAACATCTTCCTAGGATCTGTTCTTCCAAGGACTGGGCCTTCCTCTGGTCACTTCTCTCATGATAGTGTCACTAGCCAGCTGGTGGTCCACCCAGTGTCTGCAGACCATGGGGTCCTCCTCATTGTCTCTGCCAGGTCTTCACTGGCCACATCTGATCTGCCAATAAGGCCTAGCCATTGGACTTCTGGCAAGCAAATGCTGCCTCTTTCTCATGTTGACTGCCCCACATCCAAGAACCCACTGTTAGGATCCTGCTCTCACATAATATATCCTGATTATGGTTTCCCCTCCATCTACTCCTCCCCCCCAGATCCATCCATTTTCTATCTTTCATTAGAAATAAACAGGCTTCTAAGAGATGATTGTAATATAATATCAAAAACTAACACATCAGAATAAGACAAAACAAACAAACAAAAAGAAAAGATGCAAAGAAACAGATACAGATGCAGAAAAGTACTCATTTGCACACTCAGAAATCCATAAAAACACTAAACTGAAAGCCGTCATATATACACAAAGGACCTCGTTTGCACACTCAGGAATCCCATAAAATACTAAACTGAAAGCCATAATATACACACAAAGGACTTCGTTTGCACACTCAGGAATCCATGAAATACTAAACTGAAAGCCGTAATATACTCACAAAGGACCTCGTTTGCACACTCAGGAATCCCATAAAAACACTAAACTGAAAGCCGTCATATATACACAAAGGATCTTGTTTGCACACTCAGGAATCCATAAAAACACTAAACTGAAAGCCATAATATACACACAAAGGACCTCGTTTGCACACTCAGGAACCCCATGAAAACACTAAACTGAAAGCTGTCATATATACACAAAGGACCTGTAGGGTTAAGAAGAGAGAAAAATATATAAATAAAAAAGTGAAAAAAATTTAAAGCCCTAGCTACAACATTAAGAGACAAGAAACAAAGATGCCATTGAATGTGTTTTCTGCTGGCCATCTACTGCTGGCATGCAGCCTACACGCTTAAGAGTAGTTTGTCTCTCCAGTGAGATTCCCTTGAAGAAAACTCACTTCATTTTAAAGGGATTATCAATTTGAGATAACTTCTGGCTTAGGGATGGGGGCATGTATTCACTTTTCCTTTCAGCTCTAGGACCCCAGTCTGGTATGGTGGGTATCGAGCTGCGCACGTACAGAATCCTAATACCCACCACCCACTAGAACATTCCCCTTTTGCTTCCCCTGGGACACATTGCTCACAGTGCCTCCCTATGAGTGCTGAGTTATTTTATTTTGTCAACTTGCCACAATTAAGGTCAATCAGTCTCTTCAGGCAGTTCAGCTCCTCTGGGTCTCCTTAGAAGTCCTTACTGCTTATAGCGCCTTGGGATGGGGCAGCCTTGTGCATCTGGTCGGTTTGGGGGACTTCTTGACCAAGTCTTCATGAATCTCCCGTAGAACTTCCTGAGTCTTAAGGAGCTTCCCTATAGTTGGAGTTTTCTCCAGTCCTGCCTGGCCCACGGTCTCTCTCACCGGCCAGTTCCACAGCCGCTTAGACCCAACCAAGTAAACATGCAGAGACTTATATTGTTTACAAACTGTATGGCCGTGGCAGGCTCCTTGTTATCTAGTTCTTATTTCTTAAATTAACCCATATCTATTAGTCTATAAGTTGCCATGTGGCTCGTGACTTACGGGTACCTTACATCTCACTTTTCATGGCGGTGGCTGGCAGCATCTCTCTGCCTCAGCCTTCCACTTCCCAGAATTCTCCTCTCTCCTTGTCCCACTTATACTTCCTGCCTGGCTACTGGCCAATCAGTGTTTTATTTATTAACCAATCAGAGCAACATATTTAATATACAGAACATCCCACAGCACTTCCCTCCAGGGGGGATGTTTGCTACACAAAAGGAGCCAGAGCAAGAACAGGGTGTCTTCATCTGCTGCTCTCTTCCTGCCTTGAGGTAGTGTCTCTCACCAAACCAGCAGCTTACTGTTTGACTACGCTGCCTGTCTCTTTTCCCCAGTGCTGGGGTTACAGCATGTGCAGCCATTCCCAGCCTAACGTGGGGTACTGGGACCTGAACACAAGTCCTCACGTATGTGGTGTGATCACTCACGCCCTGAGCCATCTCCCCGGCTCTAAGATTTCCTTTATTTCCTTTGTTCCGTTCCTCCCTGATCACAGTTGTTCTCCTTACAGAGGTCCCTGCCTGGACAGAGGATTGTGGCCCTCCCTCTAGACCTCTCTGGACGTATCTTCCCAGCATCCTCTAGCAAAGATGCGTCAGCTCAAGGGGAAGCCAAAGAAGGAGACGTCCAAGGACAAGAAGGAGCGCAAGCAGGCCATGCAGGAGGCCCGGCAGCAGATCACCACAGTGGTGCTGCCCACCGTGGCTGTGGTGGTGCTCCTGATCGTAGTGTTTGTGTACGTGGCCACGCGCCCGGCCGTCACCGAGTGAGCGCTCCGTTCCAGCTCTCCTCTAGAGATGTCTACAGTGCCGAGCTCCAAGCAGGAGTGCCCTGTCTTCTCCGGTCTTTGACTTGACTAAAATTTCTCTACTTGTTTGGGGGAGGGAATAGGGAACATTTTATCAGTGAATGTGCCATACACCTGATGGTCCACTTCATGTGCCTTTCAGACTTCAAAGCAGAGCGTGTGTGTGTGTGTGTGTGTGTGTGTGTGTGTGTGTGTGTGTGTGTCTTTTTCCCCCTGAAATCGATGCATAGCTGACCTGGGGAGTGGAGGACTCTCTGGGTGAGGCTGTTGGAATCAGCACCACCCTCCCTCCCATTCCTGCAACATGCTTTCCTGCTCCCATTCACAACTACAGGGGACAGCATTTATTCTTTGTGCTTGATGGGATTTGAAATATGTTGACTCAAAGTGAAATATTTATTTTTTGAATAAAGGAGATAATAGTCTTAAACTGGGTATTTATCTAGTTTTTGGGTCCCTTGCTCAGACCTTGTCTCTTTCCCCTTGCCTGGGGCTGTTTCCACCTCCCCCTTCACTTGCTGCTATTCTACACTTGCAGGAAAATGATGTATTTGACTGGGTCTTTGTAAGGCTGAGAAGAAGTCTAGAGAGGGGCAAAGTGAGTGCTAACTGACCTCTTTTAGCAAAGTGAGTTCTCATTGGCATATGACCACACACACTCTCCGTCTGGTTAGCATTTCCTGCTGGATGCTGTATTTGCAAATGGCAACACACCCTGATTCCTAGTGGTAAAAGGTCAGGCTAGCTTTTGTTCTTAGCTGATGGGTGCAGGCTCTTGGCATTCCAACTGAGTTTTAAATGCAGATTGGCTGAGCCTCATTTTCCTCCAGCAGCGGGCTTCCCAGGTCCTAGTGCCTGATGGAGCTGCCTCTTTGGAAGTCAGATCCCTGGTCACTGTTCCATGGGTGTCTCTAGGCGCTGTCACTGCTGATTACAGAGAGATTTGCAAGGAGGGAAGGGCTTTCCTACTCTCAGTGGCTAGTGACGTGCTGACAGCACAGATGTTACTGGATATTTGGAGACTATTGGAGGGGGCCTTTCTGGGAGAGAAAATGAAAGACTCCAGCTGAAATCTGGAGATGCTGATGTGGGTGAGTGGCTTGATGCCACCCCCTACCCCAAGTGTCAGTGGCCCTGTATAGAGATTTACTAAAACAGTTGTCGAGTGTGGGGCTGGCAGAGTGTGTGACTAAAAGCTCTCAAGTGTGGGGAACTCAGGGTTCTGTTTTGAGCCTCAGTGCCTGGCCCCAAGGCCCTGCTCAACCAGGAGTGGGAGGGAGGCCCTGTAGCCATTTCCTGTTTTCCATGGTGACACCAAGCTGCTGGCTGTCCCCTCCTCCTGTTAATCCCAATAAAACCACTGTACTGAATGATAAGTGGTGCTGGTGGCGGCACTGGTTTCCTCGTGGGAAGGTCATGCGCCACGGCCACAACTACCTGGTTACAGAGAGCTTTATTAGGAGGAAGGGGCAGTACAAGAGAACCAGGCCTGGGAAGGAGCATGTGCAGAGAACAGAGGGAAGGATGGTGGGGTCGGGGGAGAGCAGAGAGGGTGGGGTCTGCATCCGGCTCCCTGTGAAGCGGGCTTAGGGAGCTCCATCATACATGCACTTACTGCCTGCCCACGCCATGTGCATGTGGTCACCAGTGCACACTGATGAGGTAAGACGCAAGACCCTGAACTGTGCGTGTGTAGCTGGAGTAAGGGCAGAATTCTAACAACCACTACCACAAATCAAGCTTGATTTTGTATTGGTGTACACCCAAGAGCCAGCCAGCGACTGCCTCCTAAGTTGGGTTAAGAGAGCAGTCCTGAATCCATCTCTTGGACCCCTTTAAAGAGTAAAATTATGAGTAGTTTTACAGAAGGGAGACAATGGGGCAATAAGGAAATAAAAACAAACAAACACTTGAATCATGTGATCACCCACCATGTGACTAGGAGGGGTCATGGAGGGTCAGGGTATTCTCAAGGTCCCGGGTTGGGGAAGGTCAGGTTCCAGGAAACAGAGAGCAACTCAACTCTCATAGTAAATAGAAACTTATTTTTAAAAATACAGCATAAGGGCTCCTGCCTTTAAAATGGAGTCAGGCAGGTTCCTCACTCCTAGAGTAGATGTCTTGAAGACATTGCTAACATTCTGAACTGCCCCTTGGGGCCACCCAGCTTCCTGACATCATTTTATGTAAAAAAGCCCTCTGTAAGAAAAAAACCCTCCCCTCCTTTTTCTTCTTCCTCTTTTCCCTCTTCACAGGGCTGCGTGCACCTCCGCCTTCCCTTCTCTCCTTTTCTCTCTTTCCTTCCCTCTTTCTCTCCATTCTCCCCCCTCCCTTAAACTTTCCACGTGGGGCCGTGTCTGCATGGTGTGAGTAACCCACCTCTGCATCTGCGTGGTGTGCATGGTGTGAGTAACTATCCCACCTCTGCATCTGCGTGGTGTGCATGGTGTGAGTAACTATCCCACCTCTGCATCTGCGTGGTGTGCATGGTGTGAGTAACCCACCTCTGCATCTGCGTGGTGTGCATGGTGTGAGTAACTATCCCACCTCTGCATCTGCGTGGTGTGTATGGTGTGAGTAACCCACCTCTGCATCTGCGTGGTGTGCATGGTGTAAGTAACTATCCCACCTCTGCATCTGCGTGGTGTGCATGGTGTGAGTAACTATCCCACCTCTGCATCTGCGTGGTGTGCATGGTGTGAGTAACCCACCTCTGCATCTGCGTGGTGTGCATGGTGTGAGTAACTATCCCACCTCTGCATCTGCGTGGTGTGTATGGTGTGAGTAATCCACCTCTGCATCTGCGTGGTGTGTATGGTGTGAGTAACCCACCTCTGCATCTGCGTGGTGTGCATGGTGTGAGTAACCCACCTCTGCATCTGCGTGGTGTGCATGGTGTGAGTAACTATCCCACCTCTGCATCTGCGTGGTCTGCATGGTGTGAGTAACTATCCCACCTCTGCATCTGCGTGGTGTGCATGGTGTGAGTAACTATCCCACCTCTGCATCTGCGTGGTGTGCATGGTGTGAGTAACTATCCCACCTCTGCATCTGCGTGGTGTGCATGGTGTGAGTAACTATCCCACCTCTGCATCTGCGTGGTGTGCATGGTGTGAGTAACTATCCCACCTCTGCATCTGCGTGGTCTGCATGGTGTGAGTAACCCACCTCTGCATCTGTGTGGTGTGTATGGTGTGAGTAACTATCCCACCTCTGCATCTGTGTGGTGTGCATGGTGTGAGTAACTATCCCACCTCTGCATCTGTGTGGTGTGCATGGTGTGAGTAACTATCCCACCTCTGCATCTGCGTGGTGTGCATGGTGTGAGTAACTATCCCACCTCTGCATCTGCGTGGTGTGCATGGTGTGAGTAACTATCCCACCTCTGCATCTGCGTGGTGTGCATGGTGTGAGTAACTATCCCACCTCTGCATCTGTGTGGTGTGCATGGTGTGAGTAACTATCCCACCTCTGCATCTGCGTGGTGTGCATGGTGTGAGTAACTATCCCACCTCTGCATCTGCGTGGTGTGTATGGTGTGAGTAACTATCCCACCTCTGCATCTGCGTGGTGTGCATGGTGTGAGTAACTATCCCACCTCTGCATCTGCGTGGTGTGTATGGTGTGAGTAACTATCCCACCTCTGCATCTGCGTGGTCTGCATGGTGTGAGTAACTATCCCACCTCTGCATCTGCGTGGTGTGCATGGTGTGAGTAACCCACCTCTGCATCTGCGTGGTGTGCATGGTGTGAGTAACTATCCCACCTCTGCATCTGTGTGGTGTGCATGGTGTGAGTAACTATCCCACCTCTTCATCTGTGTGGTGTGCATGGTGTGAGTAACTATCCCACCTCTGCATCTGCGTGGGGTGTGTCCCTCACCCACTGGGGCACCCTGACCCAGCCGCCAAGTCCTGCCGTGCACTGTTTCACAACATTAACAGACATGGCCAGAGCAGCCTTCCCACCAGAGGAACAAGGCCTGCCTGTCCTGGTGGCCTGGTGTGCAGTTAGTCCTTAGCCATCTACAGGGCTGTGTGAGCACACTGTGCCTTGGTTTCTCTGTGAGCGGTTGCTAGAACATTCTAGGGAGATGAAACATCTAGTGGAAAGCGAGGTTTTAGAGTGGACCTGAATTCTCGTGCCAGCTGTGCTGCTGGAGCCTGAGTCATGTCCTGTGGCGACAGTGACAGTGGTTGTCACCCTGTCTCCGGGTGGGTGTGATGATTGAATGACGGTCTTGCTAAGGAGCACAGCCTCATAAATCACAGCACCCCACTCACTTGTACTAACACATTTTCCTTCACACAGCTATCTGATGTAAGTGCTCATCTTTATCAAACAGGCTAAGTAGTCAGGAAACCACGTCACATTGCAGTGGCAGGGCCTAGGAGTCCAGGAAACCACCTCACACTGCAGTGGCAGGGCCCAGCACTCCAGGAAACCATCACGCTGCAGTGACAGGGCCCAGCACTCCAGGAAACCATCACGCTGCAGTGACAGGGCCCAGGAGTCCAGGAAACTGTCACACTGCAGTGGCAGGGCCCAGCACTCCAGGAAACTGTCACACTGCAGTGACAGGGCCCAGCACTCCAGGAAACCATCACGCTGCAGTGACAGGGCCCAGGAGTCCAGGAAACTGTCACACTGTAGTGGCAGGGCCCAGGAGTCCAGGAAACCACCTCACACTGCAGTGGCAGGGCCCAGCACTCCAGGAAACTGTCACACTGCAGTGGCAGGTCCCAGGAGTCCAGGAAACTGTCACACTGCAGTGACAGGGCCCAGGAGTCCAGGAAACTGTCACACTGCAGTGGCAGGGCCCAGCACTCCAGGAAACTGTCACACTGCAGTGACAGGGCCCAGGAGTTCAGGAAACTGACACTGCAGTGGCAGGGCCCAGGAGTCCAGGAAACTGTCACACTGTAGTGGCAGGGCCCAGGAGTCCAGGAAACCACATCACACTGCAGAGGCAGGACCCAGGAGTCCAGGAAATTGTCACACTGCAGTGGCAGGGCCCAGCACTCCAGGAAACTGTCACACTGCAGTGGCAGGGCCCAGGAGTCCAGAAAACTGTCACACTGCAGTGACAGGGCCCAGGAGTCCAGGAAACTGTCACACTGCAGAGGCAGGGCCCAGCACTCCAGGAAACTGTCACACTGCAGTGACAGGGCCCAGGAGTTCAGGAAACTGTCACACTGCAGTGGCAGGGCCCAGGAGTCCAGGAAACTGTCACACTGTAGTGGCAGGGCCCAGGAGTCCAGGAAACCACATCACACTGCAGAGGCAGGACCCAGGAGTCCAGGAAACTGTCACACTGCAGTGGCAGGGCCCAGCACTCCAGGAAACTGTCACACTGCAGTGGCAGGGCCCAGCACTCCAGGAAACTGTCACACTGCAGTGGCAGGTCCCAGGAGTCCAGAAAACTGTCAC